TCACGAATTCGTACTCTATGCTACTCATCCCTTACAATTGCCAGCCAGTCTAGACCAAACAGTTCTCGACGTATCGGTAACTTTCCGAAGATATATTCGAACCTCCCCCATCTCTGACCTCTGATTTGACTTATTGGTACACTTAAATTATAAAGCCGTTATGTGTAAAGGCGTTATTTAAATATGAGTACCTGGAACACCTTCACTATCATTAAAATTTAGCCAGGAGGAGGACGCAAAAGTTCTTGCTTTTAACTGGAAAACGACAGTATGGAATCGATGAGTTACTCAGTGTTGTCCTTGAGAAAATTACGTCTTTCATCCAGTATCGCAATGTCTGAATGGTTTGAAAGCTCAAAGTACTGTGACACAGATTATGTGCTCGTGTGCAGAGTTCAGCTGGAAACCGCTTTAAAAAAACAATTCATCATGAAGACTGCAAAGCAAGTCAAAAAAGCATGGTCTTCAACAAATGTTTCAATCATGGGAAAAAAAGCGAAAACAACCTAAAACCTTTGTACGGAAATAGAAAAAGCATCTATAGTTTGAAAATAATGACAAAGAACAGTTTTCTGATATCAAAGTACAACGAGGTGAGTGTTTCTGCTGTCAAAAGTTGAATGGCTGTGTTTAAAGAAAGCAAAAATCACCTGAAGTTGACAGGTAGACAGTTTTTTTCAGCCTTTTTCGAACCATTTGTAGAAGAACAACGAAATCGAGTATATAATTAACACAAAAGGACTCTCCTGTAGATTTATGGAATAACATTAGAAGTGATTTTTGTTTGGTGACTAAGTAATCTGATTGTCTATCAAGTTTTGCTTTACTTTGGTGAGTACTGAAAGCAAAGCAGATGACCGATGAAAACTATGATTTTGTCGGGTCGGTGAAATGATCGAACAGATCATCGATCCCTGTCAAGGTCCAGGAGTCAACGCACATCAATCAAATATATGCCATGGACTGGACCGCGCGGCAGTGGTTGTTCTTTCAATTCTGTACTTCCGTGGTTGTACCTTAACTAATTTATTCTTGTAATAACGTCCTTTGTGTTGTATAGTCTCCATAGCGTCCATGATCCTTTGATGCATCGATGGTTCAAACCACGTAAGGGCCGGTCGCGAGGTGTGACTTCAGCGTTAGTTGGTTCGTAACCATTCTCGTCTAACTATAGTACGCCCCCAATCATTTCGACATAGAACATCAACGTAGATGATCTTACAATTTCTATTCCTAAGGAATCCAAAGTCTTCTAATCGTCCTGGGCAACAAAGCTTGTGAGTTTGGAATGTATCTTTATCTCTCCAAATCTAAAATTTTGCTTCACTGTTGGTTTGTATCAAGGCTTGAACAAATAACGAGAAGTGAAGAAAATTGAGCACGGTAACCATAATACTTACTTGAGAAGTCCCATTAGCCTTAGTCAATGCTTGAAAAAACCTTAGTGAAAATTAAGAGAGTTTGGTTTTCTCTAGCTGAATTGCGTAACATGTGGCGTCGGTGAGATGGCCATCTGACAATAAAAGGGCGAGTTTAATGAGTAACAGCTCGCTCAGTTCGTCTTTATGGCCATTGAAAGGGGTTCTCAAAAATACAAAACATCCATAGATTACTATTGTTTTACCGTGGATTTTTATAAAACAATGCTGGTATGTGTTTGGACCATCGAGTTAGCAGTTCTGAGGTTACACGTTGAGTGCTAGTTAGGTAAAGCAAATCGACTGACGAGGTAATGATCCTCAGCCGAATGAGATGGTTAAAACGCGGATTACGATTTCCTTATCTATCGACTACATCAATGAACGATGACTATTAGTTTAGGGGTAGGTCAAAAGGATACTAGGCGTGGTCAAACTAAATTTGGCGTCGGTCCATGAAGATTGTAAGTATTGGACTTGGCCATGTAAATAGATCCGGATTACCTGGTTGTGATACGAGTAGTTGTTGTAATCAGTGATCACAGACTTCGGATCTAATGACTCGGATACTTCCACTCCTTGTCTTTTTTGGGAACCTGAGTTTCTAAACCTCTTTATACTGTGGGGAGTAGTGTAACGTCGTGTACTATATTACACCTACATAGCTTATTCTAGTTTCTGGACAAGCCAATTAACCTATAACGTTATGAGTCATGTTTTGATCTTGTTAATTATTCGCTTATTGACCTTGACTATTTTTTTTATATGAGCGTATGTGTATGCACACTTCTTATCCTACCTATCACATGTCTGTCATTCATTTTAGCCTGACTATAAATGTTGATTAATGCTTGCTTATAACGAGTTGGCTTCCCAGCCATCTCCACTCTGCGTCATCTTTCCTTCGCTTGCTTACATTTGCTAATGTGCTCACTGCCTTCTAGCCCATGTTAATTATCAATAAAAATGTAGTTGCTGCTTCCCTTTGTCTTCTGATATTATACACCGTTCAGATTGTTATAATAACGGTTATCAAGACGATCGATTAACGAAGCACTACAATACCTATCCTTTGTTTTTCAATGTATAAACGTTTTTACTAATACTGACACTGTGACTACTACTAGTTTAGGATTTGCATTGAGATAATTTCATCCTTCTGTGTTCATGTGACATGGGGATTTTAACCAGTACAATAACTATTCTTTGTATTCTAGCAAGGTGCTACTAAATTTAACCTGACCCTTTTTCTTTATTTCAATGTATTTATGTATTACGGTAAATAACTTCACATAAGAGACACGTCGAAGCATATTCACTGATCCCTGGTAAAAATACTACATTTCAGAGACGGTTCTCATTGAGGGAAAATCTCTTTTTTTCTGTTAAGAAGAATTCAAACTTTTCATTCAAATAGTTTCGAGTGACTGACTCGGAAAGTTCTAAAAGTGTCAGTAGCCTCATAATGCTTAACACTTCGACGCATGTCGGCTGAGAGTCACTTGTCATAACACAATATTCACGGTATTTTACCATTTCAGGTGTTGTTGTTAGCATGGAACTGTATAAAAATGCATGCGGTATATTTCCAGTTGATAATCAAAAGTAAGCATGGGCTTTCATAATGATGAAGGTAAGAATAATTATGACAAGATAGAAATTTTCTAATTTCATTGCTGCCGTAATCTTGATAACAATATAAGTAACCATGTCTCTCTTTTAATCAGCAATGTCACCAGCGGCTTTTTCGTACACCGCTGATTTTTTTTAGTTTTTGTACTGAAACATATATTTCTGGGAGTAAGTGTGTCGATTATAATCTAAAGTTTATGGTTATAGTTTAATTGATTTTTTCATATCCTTTTATGTCATATTGATGTGATAATAGTCTTCTTTTATTTTGATTGGTTGCATTGACAATATATCTCAAAGGTACCACTACCGTGTGCTTTTGGATATACAGTGTCTAAGTAGTTATTTCTTTCTCTCAGAATTTCCTATCAAGATTATCTCGTTCCTTGATCTTGGAAAAAAGCCTTTGAGATCGTTAAACGTATAGTATACTTTTGTGGCCTGTCGACACTGACATGTGTACTTATTTGTGTTTGTGTTGAAACCCTATTGCGTTTGTAAATTTTGTCGTTTATTTTACTTCAAATCAATGTATTGGATCCGGTGAGCACATATAGGTCGTATAAAGTCTGTGGCAAATACTTCAAAAGTCTGACCAAATTCCAAGTTCTTATGAATTCCTTTAGGTTTTAGGAGTCGTCAACATTCGAAACACCACTTACACTAACTTTTCTGCCGCGTCTTAAGTCATAGATACCACATAACACTTTCGGTCCTCAGTAATAAGTAAAGGGGGTCTATCGACCTATATTAATTCTTGCAATTTGTAACACGTACTGTGGAGGTTCAATCTCGTTTTGAATATACCAACAAAAGGTGTTGATATCACGTGTTCTGGCAGAGAATTCTGGTACTTCTTCACTCGGTGCGAAGAACGAAACTCCAGACCTAGACTATTTGATCTCGGTTTTTGAACTTTCTTAGGATTTCTTCTCAAATGATCAGTCCTAGACCATTCTAGTCCCTCGACGTTGGACTCGTTCCAGTTTACCCGTCTCACACTTGGAATAAAAACTCGCTGTTTGAGTCCCATATTCCAAATGAGGTCTCGCAAAAGTCGAGTATAATACTCTGCACATTCATTCCAAGTACTGAAAAGACCCATGAATAATCCATGATACTTTGAAGCCTTTGGCAGTAGCAGCATTGCAGTCGCTTGTAGTTTTGAAGTCGTTGCTTATTATGATTCCTAAATTCTTGTAGTCCATTACTTTGGGTAACACAAATTCACGTATTGTATAATGATATGAACCACTATTGGTTTTCATAATAAGACTTTCTTTATCCTAATAATTTGTTCTTATTAAGTGTTCTTAGCAAGTAAACTATTTGCTTTTCCCATCTATAGTTCTTTGCTTTTATGTTTTCTTGCATTCTCTGATATCACTTTTTTGTACTGCGAAGCGCAGAAACACTGCTTTTTTAATATATGTACCATCTTATACTGTTTAATCTTTCTTCGTTTTGATGTGCTAATAACTGTCTGAACAATAGTCTTAAATCTTTTGCCGAGAATTCAGGTTATAATAAAAATTTCTCTACATATTTTAAGCTTTATCGGTTATATCCTATCACCTGGGTTTATATCTCCCGGTAAAACGTAGTCTTAATCCATCAATTAATTATTGCTATCGTCACACTCTAAACTTACTCTGTCACTAGTTAAACGTTGTGAAGTTATGCAGTAGGTGCACAACAGATCTTTTGTTCTTTAAATTATCTGTGTTAGTAGTCCAGTTTTAACGTAATTTTGACATAATAATGGACCATCTACTAACGTGAACAAACCAATTTTCAACTCATTACTGATCCCTTTCGGAAATAAGGGTTCCAGACTCAAAAGCTTAGCTTAGTAACAGACTATGTGTTTTACCTGGAACATGTAAACTGTAAATTTTGCTACTAGAATAATCAATATCTTTACTTTCAGGTTATGTCTTTGGGTAATGAATGGCATCCGTTGGTGACACACAAATCCGAAAACAACTGCGGGCTTGCAGGCGCCGTCAGAGACGTTATCTAAGTTTAAAAAGTTCTAAATCCTCCAACAAAAAAAATTCTAATCTTGAAAGTTCCGATACAAACTCGGGAAATGTATACATTGTTGAGAGTATTCTCAATGAAAGAATTATTAAAGGACAGAAATACTACAAAGTGCGTTGGGAGGGATTTCCACCCGAAGCAGATAGTTGGGAACCAGAAACAAATCTCACCAATGTATTAGATATAATTTCCGAGTTCCACAATGGCTCAAAAAGTAAAATTTCGAAGAACTTAGATATACATAAAGATTGTCAGACAGTTTTCGAAAACTCTCCAGCTTCCGTCCCAACGCCTCCTGCTACACCATGTTCAGTACTTCAAAACTCACATAATCCCTTGAGAGGCTCTAGTGAAGAACGACAGCTGAATAAATCCGTGAAACGTAAGCATTTCACAAAGTCACGCACCGGCGGGAGATATGAATATGTTCCAAAGCACCAGTTAGTTGCTTCAAAGACAAAATATTTCGACGATATTCGAGATGGAAAAATCGACCTGTGCTCAAATGATCTTTATTCACGTGTTAAAACTCGCAAGCGATGCGCTGCTGAATCTGCTAGCAACTCCGTAAGCAATGAATCTACTCAAAGCCGAAATGGCAGTCTTCAAGGAGAAACGGAATTAGAATGTGAAGCCTCTATGGAACATTTTTCAACATGTTCTCCAAAACGCGACCCAGTATCACCATCATTTCCATGTTTCAGGACCAACGAATCACTTCAAAACTTTAACTGTACATTTCGTAATGATGAGCAGAGCCAGCCCATGTTTCCTATAGGAGGTTCTGAAGATTATCATCCTGAAATAACGGAAAATTTAGCTACCGCAAATGTTTCTCCATCTCATCAGTCAGATATCATTTCTAAGTTTGATAGTAAGGCTGTTCAGTCAGAACTCCATCCAAATTCTTCAAAAGGGATATCTTGTAACCTTTATCTCTGTGATTCTATATCCAAAGTAGATATAGGACTATCTCCAGTTTCTTCACATGTGAGTCTAGTGTTTATTTTGCATAAGATTTCTCTAAATTGAATTAGAGATGAATCATTTGGAATAAATAATTTATAGGTTCTAAATTTTTTATGCTGAATGAAAAAATATTATAAGCCATGAAAATAATCGCTCCAGTTAAACCTAACTGTGAAATTTAATCACTAATAATTAAGTTTGGTGTATACAAATAATGTTTTGGGTTGTGCTCCGATGATATTCTCTAGCTGCTGGTGTTGATTCAACTTTACTACAGATTTTCAACGAATGTATTTGTTCCTAAATTTGGCGTTTTGATTTCACATGTATCAATAAGTTATGAAAGTGCCTTACAATATGTAGGTTCAAATCTTAGACTGAAACTAAACATACCATTTCACTTTGACCCGTTTTGTATATAAGGTAAACACGTACTGTATAACAGTAAGTTCCGTACATTTTTTGTTTGTTCTGATCACTAGTCATAAAAGTTATGAGAAGCAACTATTTATCTGTTGTTTACGGTTTGTTTTATGCCAGGACCCATTTGTACCTTGAAATAAAACAGTTTTCTTTTCTTTTTCTTTATTAGCCATTAGATAATAAACCACTCCAGGCGTTTGAAAGAGAAAGTACCTCTAATTTTAGTGCTGTGGAACAGCCAGGAAATTTCCACAATCTGTATGATAAACTATATGAACGGAGCGTTTCATCACTACGCACACTTGTAAATATTTACTTCAGTTTAATTCTATCTCATATTTCAAATAAAGATGAAATAACGCATAGTGAACAACCAACCGACTTTCATAATGAGCTTGAATGTTTACCGCACTTATGTGTCTATAATCATTTAACCTCCATTCAGACACCCAGTGAGTTCTTGAATGCTATCAATAACCAAAGATGGAGTCTTGTCGCCACCATGCCTTCAGGAAACTTGTTTCCAGAAAACTCTCAAGCTCAAAAAAGCAGTACTTGTTCGTTCTCCCTAGAGAAGACGCCTGAATCTCGCAAAAGTGATAATAAACCAGATTTAGAGGAAAATAATCGTTTCAAAGAGGATGCATTATTGGCATGTATCACTGGGGGTGCAGGTAGACCGTTAGTTTTAGATCGACTACTTGCTTCTGGATTGGATCCTAATAAGGTTACTGAACCTAATTCTAAATGGCCATTATTAGCTTTAGCGGTTTGTTTGGGCCGTTTACATGCTGCTCAAGCACTACTTGATGCAGGTGCTAAGCCTAACTGTGTCGAACCCAACCGCCGACAACGATCAGCTCTTGGTTTAGCGATAGCAGCAGGAGATTTTGATATGGCCAACATGCTTATTTTATCCGGTGCGAACTTTTATGAGGTATGTCTATTTTAAGGTATTCATGCATTGATTAGGTCTAAATTTTCACTTATTTGAAACTTATTAAGCATTTCACTAGTTTCAAGGAAGTTTGTTAAGACTTGTGGCTGATTAATATGGCGTATGGTCTCACAAAAATTTATTGACTCCCTTTGTCGCTTATCATAACACCACACAGAAGGCTAATCGTTAAGGCGATATGATGATAAAAACCCAAATCCATTCTGTTCAAATAATAATATGTAATCCAGTATCTAATCAACCAGAATAGTCAATAGTTTAATACTTATTTTGTCCCTTATACTTGGCATAAACGGTTGGTTTAATTATTGCTGATTTTAAGCTTATCACTTGAAGCTGTGGGTTTAGTTCCATTTTAGATCTTGATCAAATAAAATACAACCGAATTACTGCAGGAGATCAATCAAGTCCCTTTTAATATCATTTAGGTCACCTGTTTAAAAAGTACATCACTAAACTGTCTTAATACCACTCTGATCAACACTTTTTGGCGTCTGCTTGTCGAAAAATATTTAATTAGCCAATATATATATATATATATAAACTAGTCACGTTACTTCTTCAGTTTCACTAGTTTATTGACTCATCGCCGTTCATGATTGGTGGTCGAACGTATCTACCTGACTTCAACTACTTTACCGTCTATCTTTTGAAGATTATAGAAGTGGTTTAGACACTCGTCTTCCAGCCGTTAATTGATTCATTAAGACCCGCTCCATTCACGTAAGTATAAGCTGGCAGCTAGCATCTTTTGACAACATTTTTAACCCTCAAAAATACTTGGTAGATTGGTATGGTCAATGAGTCTCATCAGTTTGTTTTAGGTGACGGTATGCGTTATTAATTTTCATTAGTTTGAAAAATGTACCAGGGAATACCTATAAAACCATTGATTATAAATTCATTTGGTTAGATCCTACAGCAATCCAAGTTTTCTTAACATCACTTATACGTCATGCTAAAAAGTATTATTCAATCTTTTACTAAACATTTGTTCGCAAAGTATATATATATATATATATATATATATATATATATATATATACTTTATGATTCCTGTTTTGTTTTCGAAAGATTTAGTTGGGAAATCGTAGTCTCGGAATAGTTCTTAGATATATGAAATGGGGAATGTTAGATAAATCTGGGCCATCTTTGGCGCCTTCGTAATGTTAGTCTGGCTGTAAAAGGTCGGATCTACAACGCGTCGGTGAGAGCAGTTTTGCTCTATGCTTGTGAAACCTGGCCTCTCCGAGTTGAGGATGTTAGACGTCTCTCTGTGTTTGATCATCGTTGTCTCCGAAGGATTGCTAACATCCAGTGGCAACACCATGTTAGTAATGCAGAGGTTCGGCATCGTGTGTTCGGGCGCAGAGACGATAATTCAATTGGTGTCACCATCTTGAAACACCGACTTCGGTGGCTTGGACATGTTTTACGAATGTCGTCCCAGAGACTTCCACGTCGTGCATTATTTGCCGACCCTGGGACTGGTTGGAGAAAGCGGAGAGGAGGTCAGTGTATGACATGGTGTCGTGGCATGAAAGAGAGCTGCAAAGGGCTAGCTTTTGTTGGTCCTTCACGACTCCCTGGTTGGGGTCCGAGAGATAGTGCAACACAGTGGCTAGAGACGTTATCAGATATGGCTCAGAATAGAAGCCAGTGGCGATCCTGCTGCAACCTTCTTTTACTTTCTACATAAAGAATGGTTCTAACTTTCCTAACTGAAAGAGTCTTCTGGTTGTACATTTCAGCCCGCCTTATCTTTTCATCCCTTCTCTTCCTACTTTCATTATTTTGTGTGGCGCATATGTACCTGGTGCCCTTTTGTACCAATATATATGTGTTTAAATAAATAAATAAATAAATAATGTTAGATAAATCAGCAAAGAGAGAACTCAGGCTTACCTGAAATGCACGTCGTTACACGTACCGCGAAAATTACTCATGTTCTCGAAAAATCTAGTTGACCACTTCCACGCAGCAAAAAATGAAGTCAAGAAAAATATTATTCAAACGATTAAAAAGCGTATCATTAAACTGGAAAGAAACAAATATATGATGGTGAAATACTCAAAATAGTGGATGTAAAAAATCAAAAATCAGAATGGCACTGATTTGAATTCGATCATGACTTAATTTTCATGTCAACTTATGATCTATCAATGTGACGGTTTTGTAGTGGAAAACATTTAATCTTAGTTTTTCTATTATTAGTTAGGGTTCCATTCATCTTGTTCTTTTGAATTCTGTTATTACTGTTAATAATCATTAGAAAATATAATAGACATTTGGTGTTTTCCGAGTGCTATTGTTATTTTCTCTACAGCTTACTTTACTTTTTATATCGGTTGCTGTGTTGTGAGTTTCCATTACTATATTGTGAATAAAAATACTGTGTACAACTTTCCAGGTAGAACCCGGGACAACTGCCCTTAATCTGATTATGAAGTTATTAAATGCTCATTTGTCTGCACAACAAAATCCCAAAATTAACCATCGTCAAATAAACAAGTCATATCTTGCTCTTGCAGAACTCCAAGATAAACTACGCAGTATGGGTAGTCAATTTCCTCCCGTACCTTCACCTTCCCCACCTAATGGACTCAATGTTCCTAGTTTACCTGAATCCCACATTTTTAATGCACTTATAAGTTCAAGCATGAGAAATCACTCCGACTCTTCTCAGTTAAATAATATAAATAACAACATTTCTAAATCCGGTAATGCTTTACCGTCTGTAGACAGTTTACGTAGACTTCATGAGCTTATTGTGGCGCACCATGCCCGTTTATCAATGAGTGTCACTAATTTGGTACGAACGTGGCTTACTCGAGCTGATCTTGTCCAAGTTGGATTGGTCTCACCTTGTCAGTGGATAAGTGTACGTCAGTGTTCTGCTTCAGTAAAATTTTCTTGGCCAAACGAATTAAGCAATTCAAAGTTGCAGCCAAGTCGTGTAGTTGCACCCATCTTGATTTTAGTTCATGGTCGAATAGCACCTCCTGCTTGTTACGATGTTTGGATGGATGATGATGGTCCTTGTGTTATAGAACGCGTTTGTCTTGATCAAACCTATATTCAGAGAGCATTAAGTCGAATGCCGTTTGTAACTACGGTGTATCCACTTGGTTGGAATTCATCGAAACCTCAAGAACATGAAGTATCAATCAACTTCAAACCAGAAAGTATTTCATCCATTTATTCTACACGTCCGACATGTGTTGCAATCATGATTGTTGCTGTTGCCCTATCCCAATCCGATAATAAGGAAAAAGTATCACAACAGAATGGAAACTCGAATGCTATTCAGTCTTCACATTTGTCTATAGCTAACAGTCAACTGATTTAGAAGTAATCAAAATTGATTTGTATATGCATTACGTTTAATTAATTTAGCCTATTTCCTTTTTCTTTTTTAAAAATTCAGCGAATCTAGTCAACAACAAAAACACAATATATTTTATTATTTCACTCTGATTGTTCGATAAATTTAAAAGAAGCTAATTTTGATTGACTGGTCATAACACATACCTATGTGCTTTCCCATACATTTGCTCGTAGACATCATTTTATTTATCGTATACATTGTATCAATAGGAAATCATCGGATTTGTGTTACTTATATACTACTGGTAATACACCATTCTCCACTTGTCAAATGTTTTGTGCTTACCTATGAAAACAATTATACTTATATGCATATATCAATACTGTGATCTATACTGAAATATATGTTCTTTTTCTTTCTGTTTACTTCATTTAATTTAGTTATTATTGTTATTTCATGGAACTGCTGATTTCCTTACAATTTCCTATTGATATATTCAAACAATTAAAGCTTTGTTTAATATATATGTCAAATTTTGCAGCTACTACCTTTCCAAGAGTTTCTCCTAAATATAAACTGACGCCACTTTTTCTCCTGAACTCAAACCTGTTTTCTCTTGTTCTCACTTCAAAAATTCTATTTCTCTCACAGACACACCTCAAGAATATAAGAATCTTGTAAAATAGTCTTAAGTGGTTCGTTCATTAAGTGAAAAAAATTAGTCGACATAAATTTCAATATTCTAGGTAATCTGTTTACATAGTATTTTTGTTTTTGCATGAACCGATTCAACTACTTGATATTTTTTGGTTCCTTGCAAAATTTGTTATTGTTATCTTTGTTATTAGAAATTATCTTTCGAATAATCGTTTTTCTTCGGTTTTTATTTTCGTTTTCTCAATATATATTAAGAACTGAATATTAATCAAACAACGCCTATTCTTTTGTTTTTATACTTTGATTACGGCATCTCGGTGTTTACATTTAAAAACAGGTCAATTTAGTCAGTGCCCAACTGGTTGCGTCACTCGATTTACTCACATGTCATAGTTTGTAGAACGCAATGAGATGTTTTTTATACCATCTTTTGTTTGTTGTTGCTAATATATAGATGAATATCTCAACGCTATACTGTACATACTTCTCCAAATACTCGTTTTTGAGAAGTAATGACATGGTTATTGCTCTCATATCTTTTTAATGTTTCACAGTTTATGATGTAGTCTATATACGATTTTCAGTGTAAAGTAATATATTTATTAGGACTTGGAAAAATTAGCTTGGTGAGAAATGTTGGTAGTGTTCTTGTCAAGAGTATCAATGACGAGTTTTGCACTCATGTCAAGTTAAAATATTGAGTTACAGATCAGTAGATGATAATTGTTTATTTTTGACCAGCAAAATAAATAAAGCATGTGGTTGTACAGTTTTTCGTGATTGACTTGTGACAAAACTGTTCATAGAATAATCTTTTGAATTGTCCTTAATAAAATCATACATTTAGTTCTATTTATTATCTTGAATAGAGCAAGAATGAAGAATTCGGCAGAATAACATGAATTTATTTTATTTCGTTAGATTCTCATCAGCTGCTTAAAACCTACAATATTTAAAATCGAAATTATTGTAAAGTTTACATACCTATAACATTAAAAAAGGATTTTGTATCATAATGGTGAAGTAGTGAGATTGAAGACATACTGAGTGTCGTAAATAAATATAACATGTGAGAAAAGATTCTGGATCATCATAAATTGTAACAAATAATTAATTAACTATATAATGAAGTAGCTGAACATAAATTAATAACAATTAAGAATAACATGAGTTGAGATTAGTCAGTTAAAAGACAAATAATAAGGCTATAAATTCGAAATAAGTGATGCAATTAAAATAGGAGAGAGAGAGAAAAGAAGAAACAAAAATTATGTAATAAAATGAATACAATCATCATGGTAAGAATTGACTTGCAACTGTGTCCTTTTGAATAAATAAGTCAGGCTTTAGTCATTTAATGGCTATGGCCTCAGGTCAATGGGATTTAAGACTTCTAGCAGTGTTATTGCAAAACATCTCTGTGATACAGAGTATCAAGTTAATAGACTAAAATCTTTCAGCATCATCAGTCGAATACCATTCTTCACAAATTCGCCGAAGCCATAGCCACTAAATGACTAAAGCCGGACTTATGTGTCAAATTGTCCATATCGATTGTTGATCCTCTGGTTAAACAAACCTGACAAGTATTAAATTTAAGAACATTTATTCAGTTTGAAGGAATTCCATAAACAAACCACTTGAAAAATAAACACTGTAGAATAAATTAATTGTATGCAGTATATGTTTAGTATAATTCTTATTGGCATAAATATTCCAAACGATTGTGTATATCATACATGCATGAACTATGTGCACACTACAAAAGGTTAATGATTCATCAATCATCAGGGTTTTATGTGAATAATATTGATGTTAGTTTCATGTTAGATACTTTATGACAGTTAAGTAAACGATATAACTTTAAAATGATCTATCAACAAATATTTAGAGTTTAGTAAAACAGCGTATCTGTTTTAAAATACTAAATAGTCGAAGCATACGAAGAAACTAAGTGAACTGTAGACATAATTGTTAGATCTTACGATTAAATGATATGATTATTTATTATTTTTTCTATCGATATTACTCATTAGATCTATTTAAATAAGTAAAATAATTCAGCTCAGAAATCAATAATTGTACCCTAAACTGGTTTATATGTATATGACGAGTTAGTGTTTTTCCAATAATCATAGCTCGAGTTCCGTCACATCAACTTCGTTACATTGAAAGCCCGTACATTCAGAAATGAAAACACTGTCAAAGTCCGAATGGAAATCGATAATACTCTTTTTGTTGTCAACCATTATTCCTTTCCAGAGCACCATTTATTGAATTTTTAACATCTTTAGAATTCCATTCAGTAAGTGCTAACATTATTTTACTAGGGTACCTATTTCTGGTATGTAATTAAGTTTCGTCTGTCACACTTGTTTAGTGGCCACTTAGATTGGGTAGTAAAATCCTTTAGGCATTAGTAAAGCTCAACAATGTCGAATATGAACACTTGTTAATGATAATCTGTAAATATCTATTTTTAGCCTGCAAATTAACTCAAAGTGTTTTATTCCCTTGGTTTGGTGGAAATATTTATGAACAAAAAGCCATTTATAAGCAAAGATGGATAGTGGCTAGCAGTAGAATCCAGGACACGCGTTTCACCTTATTTGGGACTCGTCAGCTGGATGTACATGCATTCCAGAGTTGATGTTCACTCAGTGACTCGAACCCTGTATCGTCCACTTCAAACACCATCACGTCATCCACTCAGCTACTGAGTCCTGATAGTCACCTGCGTGTGAAATGGGGTGAAGTTTAATTGACTCGGTATTGTTTGCTTGTAATCTTGTCATTGTTTGCTTAGGACTGCAATTAATCAGTCTCTTGTTGACATATGTGCATTCTGTGCGGACTTCCTCGATATTGCCTTAGCAACTATTCATCTTTGCTCATAAAGCTTATGACTTAAGGCAATATCGAGGCAGTCCTCACAGAATGCACATATGCCAACAAGAGACTGATCAATTGCAATCCTAAATAACAATCGGAAGATACAAGCAAATAATACCAGGTGAAAAAGCCATTTACTTCACTTTGGTGATCTCACTCACTTTCATCCACAGCCCGAAAGTTTTGCCAAATAATAGTCGGTTGCCCTGATCAAAGTTACAGATTATCCCAACTGTACGTCAATAGTTGTAATATTTCTGTACACTTATTGCATTTATCGTTATTACAATACCATCGAGAATATAACCGTTCTTATCCTAAAAAACAAAAACGATTCAGTCACTGTTAAATAAATAAAAAAACATCTTTTTAACAATTACTCAGTGCATTATTGGGACAATATAAAGGTCTAAGTGTTTCACACGGATCACATAGCCCATTAAATGAGAACGATCCTGATTATTCAACGACTATCTAAATCTATCTTGCAAACATATTCAGTGCATTTTACTTATCACATTTATACCTACAATGCTCCATCGCTTTATAACTAAGTATTGATTATTTTCAAGAATGGATGAACTTTTCTACTCAAAAACAAATAAAATTATACGGCTGTATCTAAGGTAACCAAAGAAATATGATTCCATAGATAACAACTAATAAGGATTACACAACGTAGGGTGTATGAAATCATACAATGAAAGAGAATACAAACAAACCTGTCAAGCATGCTATAATGTAGAGTTATGATCTTTTATAAATAAAAGTACGGGCAAACTAGAATGGGTTATGTAAAAGTAATTGCCAAAATAATATCAATAACATCCAATAATTTTGATAAAACCTCTGTGCTGGGAGATGGATTGTTGAAATTACGTTATATATATATATATATATGTATATATATATATATATATATATATATATATATATATATATATATTAAACAATATGCAGAAGATTGATAGTGAGTTTCAGTGTTAACCAAGCACTATGTTTAAATTATGATTCAAAAAATATATTGGAAGATTAGTTGTAATGCATACTATACTGGTTAAGAGTCTCAACCATTTAGGTCAAGTAAATTATTTCACTTATGAAGCTTCAAAATCATAATTCAATATGTGAACCAGTTGTAGTTGCTTATGTGAACATTTTCTTGGAATACACCAAACTAACTACTTAGTACAGCTTAATGCATTAGGTTTATATCAGTTGTTAATATGATGGAAAAGTAAAATTCATTCAGATTATAGAGCTGGTCGACGATTTGTTCTCAACACAATAATTCAGTTTATTTAAAAATTAATTGAGATTCTTATCATGTTAATTTTAAGATCGACTTTCCAAGTAATAGCTGTTTACTATTATGCTCATACAATACAATATCATATATAATGAAATAAGAAAGAAAGAGTCCAGTTTATGTCTATAGTTTCTACTTTTCCGTATTGTCAAACACGATGTTT